TCAGATGCTGCCATCCCAGAAGGCCCCTTTCAATGTGACGCCCACCCATGACCACCCCAACCCCCCAAAAAAAACCATCCTGAGGGATGCCTTCCCTTTTATTTCAATGATTGCTTTTTCTTCCTGGTTCTCATGCTCTGATACAGAGCTATGAACATTATTTGCATTGCCAATTGCAGGCAAACTGGTGTTTTAAAAAAACAATAATCCGATCAAAGTTTCAGTTTGTGACCTTTACTAATTAATATTAACATTAATAGGAATATTACCATTTCCTTATTATATTTCTCAGCTATCTTCTTTTAAAATCAACAGGTTAAAATTACATGGAGAAACAGGCATCATAGAAACAGCCACATACTGCAGCACTGTTAACCAGCTACTGAAAATTAAAGCTCCATCTCCTGCTCACAGCCAGACCTAAATATATTTGGACACTCATTCTCATTGCAAATGCAGTGGCTTTAGTTTTGTGCCAGGTAAGAGAGATGAGAATCCAGCTCCCAGTCTGCATTTCTGACTCTTCACAGAAAAGGAGAGTCCAAACATATTTTAGTTCTGTATAGCTGCTCTTCATAGACAACTAAAGATCTTTATCACGATAAAAACAGAAGGCACTGCCACAGAGTGTAATTACATGCTGCTGGAGTTGACTGTTTTCTTCCAGAAATAGGAAATGGTTTGAAAAACGTGGTTTCTGCTTGGGCCATATTCTGAGTTCCTTAAATAAAATACTATCCCTAATTCCTGTGCAGATAAATGGGAACTCTGGTACTGCAGGGCTGAGTAACTCACAGGAATGGGTTTCAAGACAGGGCTTGGCAGTCACCAGCTTCCTGCACCAGGGACCAGCTGTGAGCTGCTACAGGGCAAAATCAGGCTCAGGCTCTGTTCACACCACCCAAAAGTTCATGTCCCAGGGATGGGGTAGAAATTGATTGGGAAGATTTCTGGCTTCTCTTTAGTTGCTAAAGAACCCAGCACTTGAAGGCAGCACGCCCTGTGGAGCTCTTCCCTTCGGACAGCATCGCACAGCGGGATTTGGTCAAAGGCTGGATTTGATGATCATTAAGGTTTTTGCAACGTTAATGACCCATGATTGCAACCCCCCAGATAACACTGAGCCCTGCACCAAGTGAGGACAGGCCGGTGCTGCACAGCTCCCAGCACAGGAACAGGATGGGGGTTGCACATCCACAGCTGCATCCGCGCCGGCAGCCAGTGGGAAATGTCCTGCCTGAAGGTACAGAAACTGTCAGCCAGCCATCAGGACAAGCAGGTTTCAAATATCCACTCAGTCCCACATTCCTGATTCCTTCAACAAGCCTAAATTAGGGTTGTTGTACATATCCTAAGACCCCTGGCACTGGCCTGTTTTCTCTTACTGTACAGCTAAAAGAAAAAGACAGTTCTTACTTCTTCTGAAACAGAGTTTCCAAAGGGATGGGAAAAAAAAAAGATGCCTAAAGGAGAGTAATTATTGTGCTAAATAATTATCAATAAATTATAAGAAGTACAAGCAACTCAAAATAGCTCCACAAAGATGAGTAAATATGATCTGAAGAGGTATCTATGAATCACACTCCATCTCTCTTATTACCACAAAATAATAATGGTTCATACATTTTACTACAGAACTTTCCACTGAAGATGCCAGGGATCTTTATAAACATTAATTTTACCCCTCAGCCTCCCAGATGGGAAGCCCCATCTCCACCAGGGAAAGGCCAGGAGCAGGAATGTGCCATTCACCTCACACGACACAAGGTGCTGCAGCAGAGCTGGGAACAGCGCAGACCCCGGCCTCCCATTTTGTGCACTAACCATAAGATCATCAAATGTCACCCAGTTATTCCATCTACTCACTAAACCATTGCTGATTATTACTTCTGTTTATTTTCCCAGACAATCCCTCTCTTTTTCAGAGAGTGACAGCCCCAAATGCCTTTGGAAGAGGTGGACAGAGCGTGGCACCACTGCAGGACCACGACACACGGACGGGTCTTCCCTGGTTCAGTGTCCTGCCCATTACACCTCATCCTCTCTGAAGTGGGATTTGAGGTGAATGAACATATTTCTTCCTTCAAGCAGCTGTTCTGCAGCTCTGTGCATGCTGCTCACGTCACACTCGCAACACGTGAAAGAAACCGACTCCGTTTTAAAGGGAAATATTATTTGCTGCTTCGATAATCATTCAGGTTATCAAAGGCACATTCTTTCAAAACCAAGTCAGTGTAACCAAGCTCGACCTTCCTCAACTTGGATTACTTACACAGACACTCTCTGTCCCTATTCCAGGGACCTCTGACTTTAGTCAGGGTTCTCTCCCTCTGCTCTTTGCTTTTCTCACTCCATCCCTTTTCAGTACTTGCATCTCTCCTAATCCTGCTCTCTCGCCATTTCTAGTCTCTTCCCCTCCTTTCTTTACAGTAATTTCCATTTTCTTTGAAATGTTTTGGCATTTAATGCTGGCTTTATTCTTCCTTCTCCATCTGCTGCTCTTGTCTTTCTAAATTTCTTCTGGAGCCTTCTCTCAGGAGAAAGCAAGAGAGATGTACTCTGTTCCATGAACTGCTTCATCTTTCTGGATTTTAGTTCCTTTCTTTTCCTTCATGGCTTGGAATCAGACAATCCTGTCCTTGGAAGCTGATAGCAGCTGAAATGTCTCCTTGCAGCCCCACAGTAGTGGGTATTGTGCTGTACTGGATCTCCTGCTCCCTCTGAACACAAAGATCTCAGGAAAGCACAAGGGAATATCTGCCATTTCTTCTATAAATACTACAAGAGCAAGACTGCAGAAAGCAAAATTACTGGTAGATTTTACTCCCCTGCCTTGTGCTCAACATTTGTGGGATCTTCTGGCCATGGAGACTTGCTCCACCAGCTACAATCCATTTTCCAAGGGAGTTTCCCCCTCCCTTAGGGTTTTTCTTCTCTGTAAAATCTTCTATTTCATTATCAGGGCTTACAGGGAACAAAGGAGAAATAACCAAGCTTAACTACTAAAACTGCTTTTAGACAAATCTCCCCTATATTGTCTTTCCCACAGATTTTAATTTGGGACTCAAAGGCTCAGCTTTAAAACATCTCTTCCCAGCCTGTTCACTTGGCCTCTGTTCCCAGGAAGGGAAATAGCTGGAACATGGAAAATGACAAGGACATTTGCCAATTAGAAGCACAACAACAAATTTCTCTTGGGAAATGTTCAGCCCTATCTGCAAGTGTACCTTTGAACTAAAACATAAGACATAACACAAACTGATCAGAGATTAAACAAAGCAAATATGAAGAGAACGGTGAAAGGATTTTTTCCTGCTATCAATTTTTGTTTATTTCCAAACTTCAACCTGAAGTCTGACTTTCTGTAGAAGTTTTCCTTGTATTTGTTATTAACAGGTATGTTTGATATTGTCATACCAGCGGGAATGATGCCTCCTAAAAGTTTTTGCTTTCAGAAAGGCAGAAGGAATATAAACACCTGAAAAAAAACCAAAACCCCTTGCAGCCAGCAAGATGGAGATTTTGCAAAAAAAGGTTAAGATTTAAGTCCCAAAAATGACATATCCTTTACAGCTGCAGTTACGTTGCCAATACACAGAAATAAAATAGAAGAAATGAAGCATTTATCAAGGTTCCAAAATAAAGTGAACAAGAACATTAACAAATGCCAAAGCTTATAAAAGCCTCAAAGCATTCAGATCCTCCCTTCTCTCACAAGCTCAAAAGGGAGTCAGTTTTTCCTTAGTTTTCTCTTCCATGTTTCCCACACCACCTTTTCTCTGGTCACAGAGATTTTGCTTTATTCAATGCCTAAAATATACCTGAGCATGGAATGGGCAACAGCCATAAAACCAGAGGAGTGGAGAACCCCACACCTATTTCTTCAGGTTTTCCACTGTTGTTTCTAAACCAATGTTTTAAACACAGAGCATATTCTCATGGATTTATTACAAGCTAAAAGGGAAATATGTATTTAACAGGACACAATTCCTGAAATGTGCTGAGCTAAAACCCAAAAAGAGACCAAGAAGGAACGTGATGTGCTCATCCTGCCCTGCTCTCCTCTGGCAGTTCCATGTTTATGGTCTCCTACTTCCCATCTGCAAACTGCAAATTCTCGTGGCAACACGTGCCATAACAAGTTCACCAGCACAGAAAGTGAGAACTGAGTGAATTCTCTTCCCTGATAATTATTTGAAAGGTATCTGCAATGATAACAACGACAGATTTTCAGATTGAAGCCTGATTTAAGCTGACCGACCCCTTCAGCATTTCGAAAGAAATATTGGATTATAAAACTAATTCAGTGAAAAATGAAAGTAAAAATAGAAGCGATGAGACATCTTCTAAATAAGCAAAGCTGCTTTTACAGCGTGCTGAATAACTGGAGTGTGGTAAACATACCACTGTTATAAATAACAACCAGCCTTTTGACATTGTTCTTTCGTTAATTATTTCAAATTCTTTTATCAGCCTTAACAAAGCAAACCTCATAGTTCTTCTACAAAGTGAAAATAATTACTCCCATGTATAGGAACAAAAATTAGGATATAAGGGCAGAAAACAGGGCTTCAAAGTTACAGTGGCACATTGTACAGAGCACTCAGGAAGTCTCGTAGTGTAAGAGAAAAATCATCCTCTCCTTCAGACAAGAGTGCTCCCTAATTGACTGATTTGTGGTTTACACATCATTTAATTTTACACAAAATGCATCAAAATTTTTAGATTTAACCATATTTAGTAAACAATCAGGATGTATCAAAGTTATATACTGGTAAGTAAGACCCAAACAAATTCTTTCCAAATGGAAACTCTGATTTCTCCCTGCTAAGACACGTTCTTGTTTTGCTACAAGTCTTAATCACAAAACAATTAAAAGTAACATTTTGTGTTAAAAATGCTAGCAGCTATCAGCTGATAATACACAGCACTTTGTCAGATTATAGATAAATAAACACCAGGCCACACACAATGGGTAGTAAGTAATTGTGTCTCATTACCTTTGTGGTCTTCTTGGGCCAGCTGACCACAGGGACACCCGAAATGGCAAGATTTTGGTCATCATCAGCGTGTTCCTTCAGTATGTTCTGTTGCAAATGGAAAGGCCTTTATTAACCAGAGAAACATTTTTCCAACTCAAGAGTGCAGAGACCTACAGAAGAGAATACTCTGCTCTCATGGCAGAGTGACAAGATCTCTGCAAGTTACTTTTGCTTCCAAACTTCCAATTCCCACTGAAACTCTTGCACCTGTCATTAACATCCAAGATGTGAAACTCCTTGCAAAACAGGCAGCAAAATCAGCCATCAATCACCTCAAATGTTACAGAATTCTTTAATACTGGTGTGTCCAAGACCGATGTCTTACCACTATCACCTCTCTCCCTCCAAGTCCAGGTCATTAAATCCCAAGTGACCCCACAACTGACCCCTTCTCTCCTATCAAGGCTACAGAAGGCCTGAGAAGCAGTGAGGCTCTGCCCCTGTTATTTCAGCCAGCACAGAGCATCAGGTGTGCAGTCTGGAGCAATCCTCAGATGTCTGGTCATTCAGGTAAGCCAAGAATAAAAATGTACTCTGGAACCTTCCATCTTTTTGCACATGGCAATCCAAGAGAACCATCATTCCCACTGCCCTTCCTTCCCCCATGATGGGCAGGACAGAGCTGCTGGAATCCAGTTCCCTTTATGTGACCAGCTGAGGCATTTGGGTTCCTGAGTGCTCACTAGGAAAGGATCTGACTATGGACAGCATTAAGGGAAAAAGACTGGTCTCCCCTCCCTTCCACCCCCACCAAACCCTTTTCTTTGATGCACTGTTCTAGAAATTACATGAGTGGGTTGCACAGGCTGACACAGCTTCCACCACTATGAATCACTCCCATGACCAGTAACTCTACACAGAGGTGGTAAAACACTCAGTGGTGCAGCTGGGAATAGTCCACGCTCGCCTCCCGTGACTCCCTACATACTCACTAATTTAGCTACAAAGCTCTTCATTTTGGAGTTCAGGTGGCTGAAAAGGAAAAAATGAAAACAAAAAAAGGAGTCAGAAGGAGGATTCTGAAGTGCTGCTGAAAACTGAAGGCCAAATCAGCACTAACAGGTTAAAGACCAAAAAAAGAAAGCTCCAATAGAACAAACGAGAACTGCAGGTTGGAAATTACCTCAACAGAATATTTAGGAGATGACCCCAGACAATGAAGTTCAGCGATGCTGTTCCCAAGTATATGAAAAAAGCTTAATTAGCCAACAACAGGCAGCAGGCTCTGTCAGTCCCCAGTGCAGCACTCTAGTAATTAGTAATTTCACACACTATACAAAAAGAGCTTAAAATACAGTAATTGTTTTAATAGGGAGTGCACTTGGAATTCATCTGTAATCATCCAACTAAAGCCCACAGTGTACTGGCATGTTCCAGTCCCCAGGAGCCTGAGTTTGGATGAGTGTCCCTGGGGCTGACTCTCTCCCTGGAGCTCAGACAACCTGTCACGCTCAGCCCAATTCCCCAGCCTGTGCTTAAACACGAGCTGTGCTAGCAGCAGGCAGCAGAGCCCCAGCACAGCGCTGCTCCTGCACACACCAGCAAGGCTGGGGTGCTACCACTCAGTGACCAAAATAAGTGATAGCAGTACAAGTTTCATCAGCCCAGCTCTGTGGCTGCACCCAGGGGTTTGCAAAGGTGAGGAGTAAAGCCCAGCTCGCCCCAACCTGGCTGTGATGCAGAGTCTGTATTGTACCTTCCATTGGCAAATTAACTCTTGGCCAAGCTGAGGTGAAGGGAACACCTCTTTTCTCATGTCTGAAATCACTGCATTAAACTGAGCTGTGACCACATTCTGAAAGTTCAATCCTAAAACTGAGAGCTCTTTTGTATTCTCATTGCAAAGCCAAAATTCTCCAGAACAAGGAGGCAGCTTGAGAGCCATAAACAAAGGACAAATTAATCCCTTTTTACTTTGCTACTCTTAGGTTTGAAAGTCTGTAAGACAGAAAACCTTAACATTTCCACTAACGACTGTCAGAGACTCAGAGTTGAATGGAAAGCACAGTATATTCCAAGAACTTGGCAAGGTAATGAAGGTTTCTTGTTATCATATGTATCACGTGAAAATATTATCCAAGGAGAAATGTAAAACTATGGCAGCTTATCATCTGAGGCAGCTGAAAACAACGGCTGTCTGCGCACAGAGCCACAGCACAGCCACGGCTGCAATGACTGGAGCGTCAAGTGTCAGCTCACAACAGGCTGGGGGAGGCAGGGTTTTGTTCACCTGCTTAAAGACAAGAAAAAAGAAGATAAAAAAAAAAAAAAGCCATGGGGCTCCAGTTAAAGGAAAAACACGATGCTCTTCCAGCACAAGGCAGCCCGATTCATTACACTTGAGGGCTGTGGTGACAACAGCAGTTATGAAGGGAAGAAGCTGATTAACTGTGTAAGAATTCAGCTTAGCCATTAATTTCAAAAGCACAGCAAGGAATGACTGCCCTGAAATGCATTCAGTAGAGGGAGGTTTTTTCCTGTCATCAGAATGAGAAGGGGGTAAGATTTCTTGGCAAGAAAAAGTAAGAACATATTTCAGTAGATATCATCTGTCTTGCACAAGAATCTTCTCCTGCTGCCAAGGAGTTGCAGATATTTGACAACCTCTGTTCTTCAAACCAAGTTTCTTCTGCCCTAATGGACTTCCACAGGCCCTTCTGAGGAAAGGCAGTGTTTTTACTGTGAAGTGGGCATAGTCTGTGGCATTAGTAAGAGGCAGATCTCCCAATCTGTTCCCCAACAGCAGCAGAGGAATTACCATCCTGCTGGAAACACACACAGATGTGCAGAAATCAGAGGCTGCACACAGGTGAGTATCCCTGGCACTGGGTTTAATGTGTGTGGGCTGCACTGCCACAACCAAAGGTCTGCTCAGCTTTACCTGTCCTGTGACGTGGAGTGCAAACCACACCAAGGAGTACGGGGGTAACCTCTTCTTCATGCATAAGGCCACCCCAGCAGTGCTGCATCCAGCAGGGATTTAATTCCCTGTTTGGGCTGAGGGAAGAACTGACCTGCTCTCCAATGAGGCCTGTTCCACTCTGCAAATAAGCCTCCCTTGTGCTGCTGCACTCCATCGATCACGGTGATAAATGGGTGCTCAATCTGCAGAGGCAGCAGTTGGCACTTCTGGATTGCTGTGTCCCCACCAGACAGGCACACTTAGTTTAGAGCTCAGATGATGTGTAAGGAATTTACACAGGCTTAGTTTAGTTTTCAGTCTCCCTTCTCATAAGGAAAATAAATTACTTTACTTCAGAAAGTCTCACCTACTTGACATTAAATAGCTGTATACAGCTGTGGTTGTGTTTACCACTAAAAGCAGTAATCCAGTCACCCATCCTTTCCTGTGCTCTTGCTCAGCTGGGAAAGCATGGATTCTTTGTGAGCTACCCCGATTAGTTCTGTGAAATTTCACATCACTGAATAAAATGGTTTCCTTTCTCCAGTTTAACTATCCATATCCTGTTTTCTGAAAACATTAATTATCTTCCTGAAGCACAAAGACAGACTTGAATGTCATACAAAAAAAGTTCCTGAGTGTATTTCATTAAGAAATAAAAGTGCTACAATAAACACTGATTTATTTGCTTCAGGAAGAAACTTGTTTAAGACTTTCCAAGCAGAGCAAGAGCTTTCAGACTTTGTCAGAGCATGTTCTTGCTATGCATTTGTTAAAAATAACTCTCAAATGGGTGCACTAAAAGGGTACTTCTAATAGGAAGCATTATTAATACATCACATGCTTGAAAGTTGGGCTGCCCATGAAATAAACCTTGTTAATACAGCCAAATACAGTCACAGCACGGGTAATTTGCACAGCTCCTGCAGGATTTCTGCCTCCATTCAGTCACACAGCTGACTGGTGCTCTGGGTATTCATCAGGGTGAGCTAAAGGAGCCAGGTCTCTGCTTACTCTGCTGCTGATGCTATCAGCAAACCCCCCACGTTATTATCTGTACAGGCTGGAAAACTAGTAGCAAAGTAAGAGAGAGCATGATTCAGTGGTCAAGGAGATAAATACCATTCTGGAAAATGAACTGTATTTCTTTCTTTGCCATATGTCTCTATGTGGTACAGGGCAAAGCTTTTAAGTCAAGTTTCCACAGGCAGTCATGAATTGTGTGTTCCTGCTCTTCCTCACACCTGGCTTGGGATTTGGATGCTAAAGATCAGAGCTTCTGCTCTATGGAAATGTTAAGCCATTGCAGTTTCAGTGTAACTAAAATCATCTTTTGCACATATCAGCATTAAATACACTAATTGCTCTGTGGCACATAAAGCCAGTATCCAAAATTACTTTTATCTTTATCTCTTTGCACTCCAGTTCCCTGTGATAACAGCAGCTCATCCATTATGTGTGGAGAAGAGAGGATCCCTGGGAACCCCAAGGGAATATATTCAATCACCCTGTTCAGCTGAGGGGCTGAGCATCAGTACCTGGTGGAACAGCAAGGATGGAACAGCTGCATCCTCACACCAGAGAACACAAGGATCCTGCAAGGCCCACTATGCTGGATGCATGCTCAGAGACTAAAATCTGTCACTTGGCAACTCCTCCCTCAGCACACTCCATCCTTTGAAGGTAAAAGCTCTAAACACACTCACACACTTGGGTTTGATTATTATTTTTTTTTAAGTGAATGAAGTGAATAAAACAAACCTCATGCTCTGAGGAGATGGGATGCTTTGGCTGCCTTGCACTGCTCTCTACCACATCAACGAGCACAGTGGCAGAAAGGAGTGAGGGGCTGTTGCATCCAGGGTCCCAGAAGTAGATGGGAATGGGTCGTACTCAACTGCCCCTAACTGCCCCCATTCCTTCAGAGCACCTGGAAAGTGGATTGTGCAACCACATGGAGTTATGGAGGAAGCTGAGTGTAAGAACTTTAATTCATTTACTCTGCCATACTGACTCCCACTGTCTGAAAACTGAGGGCTGGCTTATATGTGGGTCAGTACTTTAAAAAAGATGGGTGAGAAAGTTCTTTAGCAGTTCTTTAGACACTGTTCAAGAAGATGTTTGAGTTAAGATGGTTTTAAAAAAAATCTCACACTGACTCATCAGTCACAGACTGGCCAAACATCCAGAGGTGATTCCAGGGGAAACAATCCTGCAGCGTGTCTGATGTTTTGATGTGGTCATGGGCTCTTTAACCAGCAGGGAACCATCAGTATCCAGATGTTGGGCTACATTCTGATAGTTACAGTGTGTGCTGGCAAGGACAGAAAGTTTAGAAGCAGGCAATTATCAAAGGAGATGGAACATCAAGCTGTGCACAATAAACTGGCAGGTGCTCACTTAATACCAGTCACAGCACAGTATCACCAAAAAGGTGATATTGGCCTTTTTCTAAAATGTCCATTTGGAGTTCTCCAGCTCTGTAGTCAGTGTAGTCAGTGAATCCACTGCTCTGGAGAGGAAAACAGATACTCCCACACGGAGTTTTAAGCCAGATTCACATATGGTACCTTGCTGTGTTCTAGGGAGATGTCTCACAGCACTCTGGAGTCTGTCATCCAAAGAGGGACCAGGATCCCACTCGGAACATCTGCACCAGCCATTATATGTTGCACCCCTTTCTGGATTTTTAAGAGAAAATTAACCTGTGCATTAAGCTTGGAGAATTAACATGACCATTCTTTCTGGTTCACCAAAAATTCAACTTCTGGTCTTCATTTGGATTTCTGATTAAAAGATGACTGATCCCAGAGCAAGCTCATGAATCTACATCTGCAACTTTGAGCAGGTGTGTCCACTTTCATGTACAAAGTGGCTGATTTTGCAAGAAGAAAATTTCTGAGCTCTTGTGGTTTACCAGAACAAGAGCAATTCCAAGCTCCAACATCAGGGAATATGGTTCCAGTGCACACTGCACATGTTCAGCCTTCTCTAACTGGCTTTGAAGCCTTTCTAACCAGCTGTTACACCACTTGCACTAAAAAAGTACAGGCTCCCTCCCCCATTTACCACATAAACACTTATATTTCCCTTCAGATTGTGCCTTACAGAGCTCTTGTGTAGAGAAAATATGTAACTGAAGACCCATACTGTTCACAGACTGAAAATCTGTGAACAGAAAATCTGTGAAGTTGTGTCGCTAGTGAGCACTCCTCACACCAGCTCCAAAACCAATATATTGTACCAGTGGAGAATAATTATCAACCAATAGAGGGCAATGGAGGAAAGGAAAATGAAAAAGGTGAAAGAAAAAAAAAAAGCAACTGGAAGTGTTAGACAATCTATCTTCTGAGCTGCAATCAAGTATTTACATTTTGTATGTGTCAGCTAATGAGGTGTACACCAGGGAGACACGAGACCAAAAAGGGTTGATTAAGACTATAAATATAAACAGACTTTTTGAGGTGTAATATTTACATGTGGAACATAACAAGTGCTGAATTATGAGAGGATATAAGCTTTTGGCCACTACTGTGACAGTCAGAAAGGACTGTGTCACTTAAATCTGGCTGCAAGCAGGAGCCAGAGACAGCTTTGGTTGAAGGAATCATTTCCCTGTCTGTGGCAGAGCAGCCTGACATGAGCTGGTCACCACACACAAGCTGCCAGCCCTCAGCAGCAGAACTTTGTCTTCTGCTCTCCTGCTGTGCCCACAAAGCAGAGTTTGTGTGGATCAGCACTTTATCACACCCACCTTCATGTCCTCCAGGAGAGCCTGCGGGTCCTCAATGCCTTCTGGAACACACTTCTTGTTCTCTGGGAGAGATTCAAGCTTTTCCACCAGGGCTTTTAAACCCTTCAGTTCAAATTCTGTGAGGTGAGTCCATTTGGTTGAAACTTCTGTAGCTGGAGACCCCGTGGGTGTTTTGGGATAGTCCGTAGGGGTCGTTGATTTTACGCTGTCATCTGACTCATTAGACAAAGTTCTTTTTAGGTACCTCATTACTGTGGCTTTTTGTTTCCTCCCTGCAGCCTCCTTCCCTTCTGAGTGTGTGCTGTTGGGTGAGGAGGAGCCATCCACCAAGGATTTGGAGTTCTTATCCAAGCTGTCATCCTTCTCCTCCTGGAGATGGGCATCACAAGATTCTTCATCCATGTCTAACCACGAATCTGATGAGTAGCTGTCTGTGCTGCGTTTTCTTTTTGCATCTGAAAGTTAGAAAAAGAATGCTGAATTTTTAGCCACTAACCTCACAGCTGAAGCACTTCTGTACCACTGGGGCCAGGTGCTGCCTATTTCAAAGGGCACTGGAGAATGGTTTAGTGAGTATGTGACAGGAATGGGCTTTAGTCAGCTGATTTTTAATTTTTTTTTCTTTGAGGGGGGCGCTTGTTTGTCTGTTTTAATGCTGGTTTTCATTAACATCTACTCAGTTCAAATGACTGGGAAACATTTAGGGAAAAATTATGCTTTCTTCAAAGCTTCAGTCCTCTATGCCTTCAATTAGGAGTAGGCAGAGCTCTTAAGTCACACACAATTAATTTTCCCACAAATCCGAAAAAGACCAGATTCGGCAGCTTTACAGCTTTAAGAGGAGAGTTAGCACAGAAGGAGGAGGGGGAAATGATGGGAGAAAGCACGTTAAAATGCTGTACATCATCATTCTTCCAGGAACCCTGCACAGCACAAAATCAACTCCTCACTACTTTTCCTCTCTGCAAGCAACTAACTGTTGATAAAACAAGAGCCCCCAGTTGTTAGTGCATGAATACTCATTGCTCTTCTGAGACAGAGGATTTCAACTGTGCTTATTTTACGACAACAAGACAAAGCATACTGAGAGAACACAGGGACTGTCACAGCTACGTGCTACTGGTTTTCTTAATGCCATCCCTGATACATTTTAGGTACCTCTCAGGAAAATTTAAAGGCAAGTTTCTAAGTCTAAAGAACTATTAATCCTAATTTTCCCCTAAGAGCCCCAATTGTTACCCAACTCTGTGCAATCAACCAGTGAAAGCAATGTAGGAAACCACTGGCCATGGTTCCCTCAAGCACACATCTTTTCTTATTTATTAGACACAATTTCCCTTACTAAGTGAACAACACTGAATGCAGGCTAACAACAGCAGGAATTTCTGTGGAAAATACATTTAACACTGGCAACACCCAGTTAAGTCAATGTGAATTTTATTACTGGCTGAAATGGGTATGAGATCAAGCTGCAAAAAACACACTGCGAAGGAAACAGAAGTCACACAGAAAAAGTGAGAGAACAATTAATGAAAAGTTCCTTTCACAGCTTCCATGCTTTGCAGTAGCTTTGGATTAGGACAATGTGAAACATGCTTAAGGAAGGATTAAATGGACATTAATGAGAAAGCTCAGCATCCGGTTGTTTAACAGTGGAGTTCAAAACAAATGCTGGAGCCCAATTCCAAGCTGGAGAATTCCTCCTGATCACAGAGATGCTCCTTGTCTGTGCACAGTCTGTCCCATCCTGTCACAAACACCCTGGTCAGAGATGCCACAGGCAGTGGCAGTGTCTCAGCTTGCTCAGCCTGCCTGGCTGCTCAGCTCTGCAGTTCCCAATAAAAACCCTGCAAGGCCAGCTCAGCTCTGTGTGTTACTGCCCCAGAAATATGAGTTGGTCACCTCACACTTCTCAGGGCAAGTGTGCTGCTGCTGCTGCTACAGGGTCTGCAGAAAATCCAGCATCTCCAGCCAGTTTACTCCTCCAGACAGGCTTGCATTTTTTCTCAAAACCAAAGCGGCCATAAAATGACTCCTGAAAGGCAAGTTTAAGCTGAAATGCCTGTGAAAAGATGGCAGCTACAGAAAATCTTAGCTATCACCAAGGCAGGGTGCAGCCAAAGCCAGCTCCATCCACAGGGCAGGGTAACTTTCCCCCTGCAGCCCTCCAAAAGAGCCTCAGAGATTATTTTGTGTGCTGAGGTGGTGGCATCAGCACTCCAAAGCAGCTCCTCCTCTCTGCTCTGTGCTAATACACCCCCATGCTTCTCTTAGAAAAATAAACAGGATTAGAAAATATCTTAACCAGAACATTTAAAACCCACTCAGTTATCCAACTTTTATTTCATACTGTTTTTTCCTTTGTCCACAGTAGCAAGCACACGTACCCACCTCAAAGGCTACATAATCAGCTTATGTCATTCTCCCATTTTACAACTGAGGAAACAGATGCTTGGGAGAAAGCACGATTTGCTCATTGTCACACATCAAATCTAGGGAAAAACCAGGAATCAGAATCCAGGCTCTCGGATCCAGGGCTGGAGTCCCCTTCTCTGAGCCACACAACCTCGGTGAGCTGTTTTACAACTGACTCAAGCACAAAGCCCAGCCTCGATGGGAGAAAATGCCAGTGATCTGCCATCAAACAGGAGGGGGTGAAAGCAGATCCACATCCCTACGCTGCCAGGACGGTGTCATTAACAGAAAGTGGTATAAATCTGCACAAAGAAAATCGTGTTTCTGTCCTCCTATGCCGTAGCTCTGCTGAACAGGAACTAATGGCTGTAACTGGGGCAAAGCACAGACATAAATAAGGCCTAAAGAAAACGAGGGAGATCACGTTATGGAGGTGTGAATAATTTACTCCAAGTAATGCTCTGGCGTGAGGAGAAAAAGCTTCCAAGGGACATCTCCACTTTTTGTCTCTTGCTCTAATCTATGGAAACAAAAGGCAGGAGAGGAGTGGAGCACCAGAGCATACTGGGGGTCTGTTCCCAGGAGAAGCCAGACACGGAGGGGGGCCAGCAATTCCGTTCTGCCACCTGCCACCGCGTCCCTGCCACCGCGTCCCTGCCACCGGCTGTCGGCACGAGGCTGCCCTGCTGTGCCAGCCACACCTGGGCATGGACAGGCAAGAACAGCTCCCATCTACCCCAAACAACCACCACCAAAGCAGTTCTCTGCATGCCTGGCAGTCACTTCATGCCTTGCTAACCTTCCCCCCCTGGGCACAGGGCTTGCTGCTAACCTGGAGTGTACCAGGCTATTCTGGAGCACCAGGGGATTACAGTGCTGCTGCACCACGGGATTAAGAGCAGGCTGCTCTCAAAACACAACAACTGTCTGCTACTGCTGCTAATCTAAAAAAAAAAAAGCACCGAGGAAATCAATAATGGAAGGATAACTTCAAGGTGAGGGAGATTCAATTTTGTGTTTTCAAGTGTTTTGTTGTAATGCAACATGCCATGATTTTTATTTATTCATTTCAATGAAAACACTGTCTGACAGAGTTACTGTGTTGTGAGCTGAGGCCCTACATAAGCATAATCTGCATTTACTTTGTTGAGAAGTGCATTTTAAGCGCTGTATTACCAGGACTCCACTGACTTGGAGGTTTCTGGTTTATAGAGGCTCTCTGTGGGAAACAGTGCCTGCTCAGCTCAACTGTTTCTTCTTCTGAGGCAATGCACCAATGAATCCCAGACCTGAACCCCAGTTTCAGAGGGGTTATCCAGTCTGGCCTCCCACACAACTCAGTGCAAAAAGACCTTCACCTGCCTCATCTCAGAGCAAATAACAGCAGCTCATACAGACCAGTCTGTGATCTAGCTCAGTGAAGATGTGGAGCAGCACAGACTTGACCACAGGACAGAGCATTAGAAATCTTTTCTGTCACAGTTCACTTCCCTGTGGTTCTGGGCAGACCACTTAACTTCCCTCACAGTTATCCACTTGTACAAGAATAATTATACACAGTTTCTTTCCTTTCTGAAAAGCAACTTGCTGTATTATAGAACTTAAAAGAAAGGGATGGGGGTCAGACGTAATTATGAAACCTTTCTGAACTCTTTAGAGCAGTCCAGTGTGTAGTGTCTACTTGGCATTCCCAGCTCCAAACCCTGCCACTGTGACTTGGGAGCAGCAGTTGCTATCAGTCTGTTAAAGACAGCAATGACATTTTCATTAGCAGAAAAACCCTGAGCATACTGGAAATGTATCACTGCATGGAGCACCCCACACAGGAACCACTCAATAAATTTCAGGTGCCTGTCTATCATAAGCAAATCTATTCTAGCCCCTGAGGAAGAGGCCAAAAAAAAAAGAGACATGGCTCCTTCACTGTGCTGAGGGCATATTTTCTGTATCCATCAGGCTTAACATACAGTTAGAGCCATCCTGTTAAAATTTTAGCAATGGGAATCTTCAAAGCTGCAGGCTACAGAGAAAGCATGTCTCTGATAGCCCAGGATCTTCTCCCAATTACTCTTTGTCAGCTCACTCTCAACATCCACATCTCACTGAAGGTCAGCTGTGGTTGAAAACATCCAGTACAGACTCATTCATGGTAAGAGTGAAAATAATGAAGACATATCCACCCTGAAAAACAGCGCATGTTCAAATCTAGTAGGAGACCCAAACAGGCTCCCTTCTGATTTCAGCTGGCAGGACAAATGTCCCAGTTGAGAGAGACAAGCAAAAGAAAGGAGAAAAAGAGATTGTGTGCTTTTACAGCAGCCCGTGGTTGCTGTCATGCCAGAATTCCCCTGAGTGTTTGCCCTCCTGGGAAAGATCTGAGAAAGAACAGCCTCAACACTGCCTGAGACGACACGGCCTGGAAATTCATTCTGGGCCTGAGGAAAGGGGGAGGAAGGCACGGCCATCATCTCCCACCTCATTTAGAGCTGCACTCTGTTTTTATTTAGGGAGTGGGAAGACTCCAGGTTTCAGCTGTGCCTCCAAAGAGGTGGGGTTTTTTTCCTCTCTGAAGTTTTGTGAGTGGAGACATTGGACAATATAAATTGCTACAGCAGCATAAAAGTATCAGGACAGAGGTATCACAACACAATCACACAAATACACTTTCATGAACAGACTATGTTTTGAAAGTCACTCTGAATTTAAAAACCTTCATGTCAAAACAAATAAATACTACATTATAAAAACACAGTATGAAAAGTCTAAAGATATCCTTAAAATCCAACTGCTGATGAACTCAGTTTTCTGTGTTTTCCAACGATGTTCTTTATCAATACAGTAATTTTTTTTTTATTTCTTTACTCAGTAGAACAGAATCTCCAGGAATTTTATGAAAACTACTCCCTTGTGAATCCCAGAGACTGTGGGCAGTGTCCTGCACTCTCTCTGGTCAATGTCCTCCTCTAATCACTTTCTGAACTTCAGAGATCCACTGCAACCACTGCACCAGAAGCTACGTAAGGAGAGAAAGCAGCACAACTCAAAAATAGTGAAAAAAAGCGAAAAGAAGTGAAAATAGAAAAAAAAGTGAAAAAATAGACAGTTGTAGCACCCAGAAGGAAAGGCAGAAAGTAGACATTTAGAACAAACTATGTCAAGGAAATTATTTTTTGAAAGTGGGAGAAACATTTAGGTTACTCAAGAGAAATTTCTGAAAATGAATACAAGGATGTGAAGAATTTTTTGTTAAACCAAGAAGGACAGAAGACAATTAAATCTATTGAGGTTTTTGAGGAGAAGTTAAGTACTTTGCTTCATTATTCTTTAAGGAGAATAATGGGAAATTCTTTGTCAAGGGATACTCCCTCATGGGAAATCAAGAAATTGCTTGCAGATAGAGAAGTCCCCAAAGAAGAGACAATTTGAGGACCTTTGCAGCTCTGAAGAAAAGCTTAAAAACAAAGAGGCAGGGTTTGGAACACGGGTGTCTTTAGGATAACCCATTCCTCAGCAAGTGAACAGTATCAAGATACAGACTCCACAGAACAAACCAGTTTAACTCAAAGATTCCAGTTCATAGAGATTCCAGTTAAGAGGCTGCACACAGACCAGTTAAAAGAAAAGCAAAGCATGTATTTGAAACAGCATTACTCACACAGAACAAAGCAATGCAGCTTTGCAAAGGTAAATAATGTACCTTTACTCCTTTGAATTTGGCAAATGCCAAAGTGAAAGATCCAGCAGTATAGCAGATCTGGTCTTTTGAACCACAACCCACATTAAAATAATTATTTTAAGGTCAAGTTTCTGCCAAGAAATAAAAACAAAACCCCAAGTTTCTGACAATACAAAAATATACATCTCTCTCTGCCAGCAACTGAAGCCACCACAAGGTCACAAGACCCTGACCAAGTCACCACCAAAACCTTTTCCAACCAGCCTGGCTCCTTTTTCTGAAGCCTTTGGAGCTGGCAGTCTTTGGTCATGCAAAACAATCCTGTTCCCTCTAGACAGTGGACATCTATAGTTCCTAGTGAGCTTTTATACGACTGGAATATCTCCCAGCTAACTGGACTGAGGCACATTTTGTGAGGCACATCACCAGACCATTATCAGTAATTATGGAGTTGGGCTGGAATTCACACTGGTGCTTTAGCTGGAAAAGGTCCCATCTCAATATCCTGAACCATCCACTCTCCACATCTAATTTGTTCTGAAATTACATGTTGCTGATCTGGCACCTCTGCCCTGCCTGCAGGACCAGCCTCTTTCCATGCCAGTGGTTTAGACAACAGGAGATTGTTCCTTATTTTCCAAAGAATGCAGTTCTCAGAGTTTCATCACTGCTTTCTGAAGAGCTGATCCAAAGGGCTAATTCACCCTTTCCTCCTCTAGGATGATCGTAGGAGAAAAATTCCTCTGGACACAGAATTTCTGCTTAACTAACCTTTCTGGCCAGGGTCTCAGAGCTAAAATGTGAAGCACCCAAACTCCCAGTGACCCCAGGAATTCCTCCTGGCCTATCTACACAGACTATTAGCTCTGTCAAATTATTCTTGGTCAGTAAAACTCACTGGAGAGTGACACCTGCTCGTAACTTCCTCAATCCCTTCTACTAAGAATTGTGCTTGTAGGTGAATATTTCCCTCCTTTGTCCAGAGCCTGGGGCAGTGCCAGCCATGCCAGGTTCACTCCAAGTGGCCTCAGAGAGTAGGAGGCATAGAAATACTTTAGTCCTCCTACACACTTAACACTGTAAGTTAAGATTTAGCTGGTGTTTGTGTTATTTTCAGCTATTTTGTGCTTAAAAGCAGAGGGAACATGGCCCACCATCTTGTTCCATCAAAAGGAGGAAAAAGGGCAGTTCAGCACAGCAACAATTGAACTGTCACACATTGATGCAAAGCTCACACCAGTGCCAAGGTAATGCCTCAGGCACATCTGTCTGTCTCTCCTCTGGTCCATTTTCAGCTCCTGCTGTAAAGGTTTCTTTGACCTCCCTCTACCTGGGTTACAGATATTGGAGATTTGTGTAGGTGTTTTCTTGGGCTTGTTTTTCTGCAGAACTACAACTCAGTCACCAGAGAATTACAGGAGAATTTAAGGAAAACAGAAGAGAAAAAAGGAAGTTTTGGTGACCACGTGTTCTGTAGAGGAGCTGCTCTACAAAAGGACAAAATATCCACCCCATCAGAGCACATCTGCAATACACACATTTCTGGCTACTGAGGTACTGTGCTGAACATGGCAGTAAATCCTCAACTCTTTGGCAGATCATCCCAACACCAACATTACTGAAACCAGCAGGAACGAACACACCCAGAAATTACGTTCCTGGGATCCACTTGCTAAGGGAATGTTCAGTAAATACAATTCAAAGTAGGTTGGTACTTCATGGAAATGCTTAAGAGTCAAAAATCTTCCCAACCCCAAAATAAAGAAACAGTTCATTAGAATTTCTCCAGTTCTCCCGTTCAATTTATAATCTGCTTTGCAGAAACCAAAGCAGCAGCTAGCCTGAGGTGCCAGCATCAGTTCTGAATCTGCACTCAAAGGATTCACTCACCAATTAACATTGATTCTTTCTGGTACTCTTTGCTGAGGTGGCAGCGCTGGGTCACACAGGACACGTATCTCTCCAGAACATACCAGCACATTTCATAGTAGAAAGGATACCGGAATTTGGCGTGCACCTGGAAGCAAGATCAACACTGTCAGTGCATGGGGAAGGGAGAGAAGTTTGCAGAACAAGGGCCAGTCATCATTCCCATCGTGTTATCAAGAGCACAAACAGTGTGAGGAGGGGGAGGGGAGAGGGTGGGAGCAGGGAGCTGAATGCCTCCAGCATACGGAATGAGGAGCCAGCCTGCCTGCCACGACAGCATCATTTCTTGGTTCACTAATTTGTATCCTCTTGGGGTGGTGGGAGAGGAGAGGGTTTGTGTTCTTGTGAAATCATGAAACTGATGGATGGCCCCTACAGAATTATTTACCTGCTGTATAAACATAGGGTGGTCACATACAGATGCTAGTCACTAAAACTTAAAATAAAGGCGTGGGTTTTCATCTCCTAAACATTATCAGAGGATTTTTATCAAAATGGCAACATTACCTAAAATGAGTCAAGCAGGAAATTAATATTTTTCATTTGTGGTTGTCTCAACAATTTAATTAAAGAAATGAAAACACAAATTCTCTATAATTACACACTAAAGTAAAAATCCCTTATGTGGTTCACCTTTTGGTAGCAAGTCAGCTTTTGCCACAAAAAGAGTAGAATAGAAGAGCAGGATTTTGACAAAAGATCCTGTCAAGCTGTGTACCTTTTCTTACATCTCAGACCTGTTGTTCTCACACAAAAAGCTGAATTTTCCAACCCTAGTTATTTGTGAGAGTATTTCAGATACAAAAGAAAACAAAGAGGGTTTCCTTCCTTTCCAACATAGATTTCTATCTGTAGAAAGTCGCTGTACCACAGAAGGATCTGGGAAGCTCCTAAAATGCAGGAAGATATGTGTACTTGTTTTGATTTGTTAAAAATGGATGCCATGCATCTTGCATGCACTTGTACTTACACTGTACACCTCTTTCTCCTGGTGGCACAGAAATCTGCATTTTGCAGGCTCACGTGCATGCACTGCACTGGGATTACAGGAGCTGCTTTAAAACATTCTCTGCATACTCACTGCTCCCTAAGCCCACAGGTGGACACCCATTTTTAGTGAAAAGCTGGACTGCATCAGAAAGGAGCATTATCTCAGAAAAGAAAACCAAAGCACCACCCACCACAGATCAGCCAAAAGCCCAAAGTCTAAACAGAACCACTAACCCAGCACCTGCAAACTCAGACTCAGCTCTGCAAAGCAGGCACTGCCCAAAACACCTGCGTGGTGATCAAAGCATCCACTTGAGCAGATCAGTGACTTACTGGAATGCCCAGATTTGAAACCTGTCCCCAAGGTGGACAGCCAAAGAACTTGCCTCTGTTCCCAGGGCACAGGAAATGCAAACACTCTTAGCAGTAAAACAAAATGTAACAAAGGGGAAATATACTGTATTGTCACACTAGATGTATCACAGTGTAGGATTAAATACTCCCTGGCAATTCCCAGAAGTTAAAATCCCTTAAATTCAACACAAATACTGCTGGCAAATCTGAACTGCTTGCTGCTACAGGTCATGCATCCAGCACTGCTGCACCTTTCCAAATGTTTCCCTGCATGGTTTGTTACAAAGCACACATACCAAAAAAAAGAAGAGAAAAAAGAAAAGGGAAAATAAAACCAACCAGCCAAACAACAACCCCCTAAATGTGAGAACATTTAACCCCAGGGCCTTTTTGCATTGAAAAAAAATTTTCCTTTAGTTTAGTTATTTGTCATAGAGAAGAGATCAAGTCACTTATGACTATTAGGGAACACAGGGGAAATTATCCATGCTAAAATATACGCTAATAAAGGAACTCAAATTTTTCCAAGAGAGCACTGCAGGAAACAAAATTTGCAAAGAATTGACTTACAAACAGGAAGCCGCCTTCCACCCCTCAGCCTTCAAAAGGTTTTCAGCCACATGCCTGGGAATATTAAAGACATCATTGCTCAACATTTGTTGACAGATTCTGAGCTTCACCAAATTTAGTTGTTACCAATGTTAATTCAATGTGAAAGACAAGGCAGTAATGCATGCAGTGCTCCCATTATGTATATCAATCTTTAATATTCAATTTGAGTTCCTAATTGCCTCACTATCAATGTTCCAACCCACAGCAAATCCCTCCATGCCTCTGTAATCCACTGTTTGCCCGAGAAGGCTTTGCTTTTACAAACCTTCAGAAGGAAGAGCTCTCTCTGCCATCTGTAGATAGAGATTCTGTGCAGAGATCTACAGGGCCTTCTGCCAGTAAAGAGACTCAAACAGTGCTTTAAAAACTTTCTAAGTTTGCCTTATGGAAAAGTATAGAGGAATATGCTCTTTACGATATCCCTGAACATTTATTAATTATAATGGATGTGAACTGCATTATGTGCATGGCCATACTCTTTCCATCGTACACTCATAGGCAAATGAACCCTTATGGGCAGGGGAGGAGGAATAAGAGAAAGAAGGAAAAAAATTAAAAATGTTCTATGATGAGTTCGAAGTGTAATATCTGATACAGACACAGCCAGAGGACTGAATTCCCCACCAGCAGGGAAATACACTGGATCATCTAATAGTCATTTCCAGCTCTAACTTCTGTGATTAATAATTTACAATCCGCTGGAAAAAAAAAAAAATTATTCCAGTACAGCAAGAAAAAAATCCTCTCTGGAATATGATCCATTTCTTCAGTTCAAAGTGAAATTATTTTAGAGATTTATATACCCCTCCAAAAACAAAACAAAAACCCTAAGCAAGTAAGACACACGTTTTCCTGAGAAAAGTAATAATCTCTTCCACAATGCCCATTAAAATCATTACAAACTCCACTTGTGTTTAATCAATCTAATCACAATATTGGAAAGCAATTTATGATTATTTACAAAATAATTAATCTAGCCACTTAAATGCTATCTTACATTCCAGAAAACCAAGTGAATAGCAAACACCATCATCTGTGAGTGACCACCTTACGTATATATTCAGAGTGCCCTTGTTCCCACCACTTCCAATATTTTAAGGCAGTTAAATTTACATGAATTTGGGGTAAGTTTGACACATTCTTCCTCTTCAATACTAGAGAGCTGTATCACCCCTATGCCAAATGATGAATCCCTGCATGGCATCCTGCTCTGCAGTTCCTCAAGCTGGGCTTGCAGAGAGCTAAACAGCTTGGCCTGTTTGACTGGCTGTTAATTGGCCTCCAGGAAAGCCAGGCTGCAAAATGAGAGTCTCTACGAATTGGAAGGCTGGAGAATATTTGTTTACCTCAATTGCACATTAGGAGCTATTTCCAACAATAGACATGTTTTTTATTACTCCTTAAAACTATTTTTAAATGGCTACAACCTCTTAAAAAGTCTCCCAGGGGTATGAGGAATTAAGCTAGAATAAGCATGACAAGTATATAAACTAGGCAATTTTATCAGGCTGTAAATCAGCATTACCATTTCAACCCTGTATTTATTCTTGTCTGAGCTAAGACAATAACAACTACACCTAGCATAAAAATGACTTTGAATATCAGCAATCAAAGATGATTAAACATTACATAGCAGGTTTAAACACAGTGAAACCTCCATAAAATTGCTCTGTGCAAAATGAAGAGGGGAAGCACACCTGTATTACACTTTGATTTTAGTGTGGCAAATTACTTTGTCAATCACATCATGTAATTTACTTCTGTGCCATACACAATGGAAAGATCAATACTGATGAGAAACTCATTTGCAGTATGCTCACACTGGCAAATTTGGGTGAAATACACTGTACTGAGTCTGCCAGACCAGCCAGTGAATGAACGGAATTATTTCAACAAAGAAATGACAAAATTTGATTGACAAAGCAAATAATGTAGTACACACCAGAATCCTGTTTTGAAACCATTTCCCCTTCAAGATTCCTGCATGATATTTTTAGTTTGGGAGGGGGGAGTGTTATTATTTCTAAATCACAGTATTGATTTTCCTGCCTTGTATCAAACTTCTGTATGCCTTAGCTGCACAGCTTCTATTTTGTTTCTGTCCAGAAATTCTTGCTATTCTTCAACTGTTCACACAGTTCTGATTTTATACATCTGCCCACGAGCACAAGTTTGTGAGCACAGGTACAGCCTGTGCGTAACACGTTGCCAGCACACAGCAACATCCAAGTGCTGAAATTCCTTCTGTGAAGTCGTGGATATTCTGGGCTGTTGGCTTTCATTGGTCTTTTTTAAAACACTCCAGTACTTTTGCAAAGAAAATTATAAAGAACTACACAGACTTCAAAGAAAATTTAAACAAAAAATGACTGGAACAAAGGTCTGATTTGGGATTTCAAAATATTGCAGTATCCCTTTAATGGTGACAGAACACTTTTCAAGATGCAGATACCCAACTCTCAGATCCTCCTCACAGGATTAGGGAGCCAGTGAATTTTAAAAAACATTTCTGTGTAACTGGCTGGTTAGTTCCTAGAAGTTACCAAAATATTTGACTGTTATAAGGAGTTTTGCCTGCTGGCATAAAAAGCTTAGAAAATCAAAGCTGCACCCAGCTTCCCAATGAGAAGGGCCAGACATGAAGCACAGCTGAGCAGCTACAACCCAAGGTGTGTGATCTTGGGTAGCTCAAGTCCTGTGTGAACAAATGTCAGTTTTTATACTACTTAAGGAAAAAAGAGGTTTCCTGCCCATCTTCCCCAAAGACTTCAATGGAAATAACTAATTTCTGGCATTGATCCTCCCTCCCAGCCTCCCCTTCTCCATTCTCCATGTGAGCTGCCTGTGCAAACATCCTTCTCAGCGGCAACACACCCTCCCTGCACACCTGCAGTGCACTCCCAGCATGTATTGCTGGTTCTTATTTACAGTCCCTCTGGAAACCTTCCTGTGCCCAGCACCTCTGCCAGGTGAGCCCCTTCCTGCCTCTGTCACTGTAACTTTCCTTCCAAATCCTCTGGCACTTTCTCAAGACACTTGACACTCTCACCTGTTCCAAGCCAGGCTGAATCCACTCGTCTCTACCTCTACTTCTGCTCTTTGCCACGCTCCTCTGTTCTAATTTCCCCTAAATTTCAGCTTTTGTCTTCATCTCTGTTCCACTAAGAATTCCTTTTTCCTGCCTTTCTTCATTAAAGTCACTCCAGGAAACCCACTGCTCCCACCACTGTTTTGCAATATGAAGATTACCAGGCCTTGTACCTGCTGGGAAGCCAGGGAGGCTGGGGGGAGGACACCTCACTCCCATTGAGTCAGAGATGTACTTCAAAACAATTTGTATTTTCTTCAGGCCTATGCACTCTCACTGCAAAGAAAGCAATTTGGGGTAAAAGCCAACTTGGAGCGAGATTTGTGCCCTCTTGAAGGGGTGAACAACAGCGAACAATGCCACAATGGCCTTGCACAGGTTATTTAACAACCTGCTAAAATAGTCACTTCCTTCAGATCCTGCTGTTTTTTGAAACTCAAAGGATATGATGAGTAGGTGCCCTGTTTATTAACCAAGGATAAAACTGTCACTCCCAACAAAGAGGTGGCACAGAAACCTCCCCCAGCCTTCCCCTCAGGTTGGTCCTACAGCCAGATGAACATCTCAATGTTCAGATCAATGTCCCACCCCAGACTCTCCATTCCAAGGAATTCTTGCATGGTATCAAGTCACTGACTGCCAATTACAGAAGATAATTTCATACACAACTTCTGCACAGCTTTGTCAATTCAGCTGTGGACAGCAGAACCAGCCCAGTGCCATCAATTCCCCAGGATCAGGCATCCACCCCAGGTGTGCACGGAGAGGTGATAAGCAGAGGGTTACCAGAAATACTGGTACAAAGGTCTGTAAAGTGCAATATGTTTCTGTGCAAAAGGGAAGGTGTTTTATCAAAGTTTAACAGGCAGACAAAAGACACAGAAGGGACACATCTGTGGGAAGCATATGAGTAAATCCCACTAAAAATAACCAACATTTGAAAGTCTCATTACTTCATGTTTACCTCTTGTTTCAACGACTCTGACACGGAGATCCCGTCAGTTGTTGTTTGTCAGAAGGGAATACGAGGGAGAGACTATGACAGATCATAGTCACAAAGAACTGCTCAGTTAAAAAGAGAATCGAGTATCCTTACCCTTGTTCTGTCCTCAATTTCATAGATGCGAAGCTGCATGGGAACATTAAAGCTATGCAGGATATTTCCACCAAACACCAGAGAATCTACTGGAGTATAAACCGCGTGTATCCACCCTAGAGAGGGAAAGCAAAGAACTGAGAATGCCTCGTGCTACGTAGCATTATAGAGCAATTTATAATCAAATGTTAACAACCCCCTGAATCCCACTGTGCTGGGGATGAGAGGTTAAAGCAGTGAGAGGTTAAATGGGATGCTCACAGCCACACTTCAGGACTAGTCATAGCAGAAAGGCACCTTGTGGTGTGCAGTCTTACAACCCTCTGGAAATCAGTCCTTCTATTTATTCACCCAACACTTACAGTGTTTACTGAGCACACGCAAGTTTATGACTCAACCACGTCCATGACTAAGAAGTAAATTCAGTCTGTTCCATACACTTGGTTCTCAGACTGGCACCTCCAGCATGGCTGCAAACCATGTCAGCAGTGGTGGTGGGCCAAGGGTTGAGTAACTGGACTGAGGCACACCAAACTTCCTTCACACCAGCACCAGAACACACCTTCAGACGTAAAAGATTCAAATTATGACCAGCCCTCCTTCAGAGGTGAAAGTTTCATCACCTACGATCAACTTCCTGAAGGAACTGAGAAATTGTTTTCACTTCAAACCTCAAGTTAAGGGATTTAACATTTCTGGTACTGGAGCTGATGAGACTGTTCTGACCCAATCCTGCAAGAGACTGAATTAATTTCACAGGCTCCAAAGAATCTTCTATCACAACGAAAATCCAGGCACAGCAATTCAGGCAGCCACACACCAGCTCTTCTGCCTCTGCATTGTTTGCTTGGTCTGTCAGGAGCTGAAGCTCTGGCTATGCAAGACTGTAGCCTCTGATCTCTGCAGTGAAAAAGGAATTGATCCTGCTAATGATCTGGGACCCACAGAGACCTGACACTTTTTTCCCTCTTCTTTTTTAATGAAAAGCATTACAATTTATAAACCAGCAGACAGCAAAGCAACATGGGGGGCAGTCAATTTTCTCCTGACTGTGCAGTACTTTCCATTAAAGCTGTGGCAGCTTTCCCTCACTTCCAGATCAGTGAGGGAGCAGGAAAATACCATTCAGCCTAGAGGGTTTTCCAGCCAGCAGCCACAAAAGTGCTCCTCCACAACAATTTTTCAACCATAAAGGCCTGCAAAGCTCTATCTGGGAAGTCCTTGAGCCACAGCAGATGGCAGGACTGGATCTTTCATTTAAGGGCGTGTTGGTGGGAGAGTGATAGGAAGGAAAGGAAATCAGCACTAGAATTTTCTCCCAGGAAACACAAGCCCATCACTCTGGAAGGAACCTCTGGAGGTCCGGCCCCCATGACCACCCAGAGCCAGCTGCACAGAACTGTGTCCAGATGGCTCCTTGGTATCTCCTGGGATGAAGACTCCACAGCCCCTCTGGGCAGCCTGTTCCAGGTTTCAGTCAATTTACAGGTCTGACTCCACACACTAAATGTGATGCATATAAAACAGTGGGTGGCTCATGGCTCTGGCAGCTCTCGGACTTATTCCATCTTTCCTTCTCTGGTCAGTATAATTTCAGTTACAGTGATCCACCATGTTTATTACTTCTAAATCAAGATCATCTAGAGAGGAATTTTTTTTTTCATGTAAGGGTAGGGTGACATCTGCACACATCAACACTATAAATAATTCACAGCTGAAGTAGTTCAGCACCTCACACAAAATACATCAGTCTGTACTAAGTGCAAACTACTAGAAAAAGAAATGATCCTCATCCTAATCTTTGGGAAGGAAAACAGATCCAAGGTCAGGGAAGTTGGGGCCACTGCTCCCACTGGGTAAACAAAGATTTCTGTGGTTGGGGGAAAGAATGGAAACCATGCACTGAGGCAAATCTGGGTCCCCAGAACCAACTTATTGGCTGGGTGCTGAAACACAGGCTTGGTTTGCGTGATAATCCACCTTAATTGTCAGGTTTAGAGATGAACAAACTGAAACCTGAAAAAGTGAAATGACTTTCATAGCCCCACAATTAAGAGGTGGCAGAAAACAGCTCAGAACCAGGCAGTTACCAGCAGAACACTGAGGAGTCCTCAGCACCACTTCCCACAGCAGTTCTCTCAGCACAGGTGTCAATGTCCAGCCTTAGTGGAGCTGTTATTTTAGTGAAATTATCAACATCATTCAAAATACAATTTGTTATCAAATATTTACAACTTAATTAAAAGGAGTAACTGAGCTGATTCTTGACTTATTTGAAAGGTTAAAAGGAGATATCCCTTCATTTAATAATCAATAAAATTAAATCACATCAATGCAGTTGTTCTTTGAGTGGGTGCTTCCACTGAAACCACACAGTAGCCTTCCCCTACAAATTGTATTTCCTCAGTAAAATTGTTTCATTGCCCTTTGGGTCTCTCATCACACCTTCCCTGACTTCACAACTCTACCCCCATGCCAAGAGTTTTTGTGTTAATAACTGCTAGACTTTCTTGGTAGTAGTCCCAGTATTTTTGGGAGAAGTGCGGAAGGATCTATCACTGGCTTGAGCCAATGCTCCAACAAATGGTGCTCCAGACATGACAAACCCTCAACAGAAAGAATAATGAACACAAATACAGTTTCAGACATCTATTCTTGCAGAGCTGGTACAGTACAAACTGAAAATCTTCTCTAAAGTATCTGAAAGAACCTCTGGTTCAGTGGAATAGGTCTTTAATTCCTTACTTGCATTTATAATCCAGGACTAAACATCTTACAAGAAATTAGTACCTTCAGCTCCCAGTTGCTGAATTAACTGACCACTAGGTCCTTCAAGATGCAAATATTTCTAATAACAAGACTGAAAATGTTAATGACACAGTTTTCAGTAGCAAAACCCTTTAATAACACAGCACTAAAATCCATCAGGATTGGGAAAACAAAAATAAACAAGAGACCAAACACCAAAACCATCGACTATAAAGTCCTGGGAAGTCAAGTTGTTACCCCTGCCAATGCAGGGATGATTTCCAGGCACAGCTCTGAGATAGGTTGAGATGATGCCTGTGGGTACGATCCCCTCGCTGCTGAAGTGCTGAGTTGGGCACACAGCTCAGTCCTGGGGAATCCCAGATTCCCTGCAGCTCATGTGCTCCCACAGGCAGCATCCAGCTCAGCCCCTCTGCAGGACACAGCCTGTCAGAGGAGTCACCTGCGCATAAAATAGATTTTGGCCACTCAGCTGTGCAGCATTTCAGTCACACTGCATCCCAAAATAGCTGCCACTTGCCTGAGGAACGTACGTGCATAACTGAAACTGCAGAGGTGTGAGCACCAAGGGGTGGATTCCAGGGACACAGGACAGAATGGGCAAGGTTAGACAAAAAAGATGGAAAAACTGACAAGGTACAAAATCCCAGCAAGACTGGCACAGATGTTACAGAGGAAAAAAAGCCGACATGAAAATCTCTTGTTCTAATATTAACCAGACTGTGTATGGAGAAAAACTGGAGGTCAGCAGCAGAAAAGTAGAAGTAGGAGGAAAGAGAGATGAGCAGAAAACAGGAAACAGTTTCCATCAGGGTAATGTATTGTGGAAATGAGCTCTGAGAAAAGAGAAGCTTGGATGGCACATTCAATCCATTCCCACAGCTTAGCTACAGCACGACTCAGAAATAAACTGAGGAGGAAGAATGTTCATTGTGACCATTTGCAAACAAAAACACCCATCTTGTCAGCTCCCCAACTACCACGGTTTTTAAAGGGGAACACAAACCTCCAGAATAGGAGGTGCTGCACATATGGATAAGAAAAAAGGACAGCCAAAGGATTTGCTTTAATGTCATCCACCACATCCTTGCCTCATCTTCACCTGTGCTGTTATATTTTGCTGGATGAACTGAAGGTCTGTTGACATTTTAGATCATGTCACCTGTGCTGAACAGCCTGGCATGTCTGTTTCTGTGTGTCTGACTTCCAGCTCTCTCAACACAAACTTGCCACTGCCTCCAATCCCAACACCTCTGGAGTGAGTTCATCAGTTCTCTCCTCAGTGACTGCTTTGAGCTGCTCACACAAACCCTGCAACTGCTGCACAACCCTCTGCCTTTCATGGCTTTGTGCAAGACAGGAGATAACATCTCACCTCTTGGTAATTGTCTCAAAAACAGAAAAAAATGCCAAAAATTTCATTTCATCCTTAATGTTAAAAAACCCCACTGGAATAATATCAGAACAACTGGAATAAGGACTGAGAGTCAAAGGTCAGCGGAACAAGAAATTGTTAATTTTTGTCTGAAAGCCACGAACAAAAGCACCTGCTAAATATTACCTAAAGCTACAATTAAATCCTACAGATGAGAGGAGGACATTGACTGTGTGGCTTTGAGGACCAGTGATGAACTAGGAAGATTCTTCCCCGTGGGTGAAGCCACTGCCCAGTCCTGCCCACCACAGGCTCAGCCACATGGGATAAATGGATTTGGGAGTATAGACACTGCACAGTCACTGCTCACAGCCCTCATGTCAAGCCTCAATAAGAAGTCCTTCCACTTATGGTTTTTCTGAAGTTGATGGTTTTTATTTCAGCTCCTGGCGATCAATAAGTGCTTTTTCCTTCCCAAAACAATCCTAGTGTATGAAGCCAAGCCAACAGTGAGCAGGAATTCTATTCAGGAGACTCAGAAATGCTCTCAGCTGATTCACAGTTATGAATTATTCCACCACTCCTAAGATACACTCGAATATTTAGATGTTATCATCTCTAGTAAATCAAGAAGGTAAAATTAACAGTAACAAACATTTTTTCTGAACAGTTAAAAGAAAGATATGATCTCATTATCTTTTGAATTTTATAAAACAAGTATTATTAAACATTGCAAACTTGTTGGAAGGTTTCAGTGGGCTGCAAATTCCTACTCAAGGATGCAATCATCCATCTGAGAATAATGAAAAAGAATATTAACTTACAAAGCTATGGGGCAAACAGCCTACAAGCTCCAAGCCAAAAGCATGGTGCATCTGTTTCCATTAGTAACTAAACTGATATTTTGCCTTGTGATATAGAAGTCGCCACAGATTTTCCTGCAATTCTACAGCAACTTCGTGTGGAAAAGAT